TTTTAACCGTTTTTGACAAGAGCACATGCAATTTAGAATGTCACCTCTGATATACGATAGTAACTCATAGATGGTAGTCAAATTCATACTGTTTTGAACAACAGGCTAATTATTCATTAGTTTAGTAAAACATGATTTTTAAGCAATTTTACCTGTTACCCACAATAAGATTTGAATGTACTATTTTGCTCACATTCAAATATATTTAATGAACTTGTTATTTCAGTCGCACTATGAAACTAATTAAAAATTTCTGAAGTGATTAGACTAGAAGCGTCCTGCATTACCACAGACAGCATGAGCATAAATATTACCACAGATCAGAAAAACCAAACTGCATGTTAGCATCAGTATTAGATTGTGGGGATTGATGAGTTTTAATTAAAATCATGAACCGAATAATGTTAAACCATCACTGGTCGCGCAGTATTGTGGAGTGGTTAAAGTTAAACAATAAAACCATTAGACGCCGGTTCAGTGTCTAGAGATTAAGCGTTTCGCGAGCGAGACCCGAAGGTCCCGGGCTCAAGTCCCGCGTACAGGATCATAGATGCTCATTATTGAGGACTCCTATTCAAAGTGGTCTAACATTGATCGTTTCATGATCTGCATGTTAATGAATTTCCAAAAACGAAATAAACACGCCATTGCAATAAGGATTACGTGATGAAATGATTTATAAAGATGTTTTTTTGTAATGGGATCAATGATAATATGATTACATTATTATATATCGTATGAATTTGAGATTTGATAATTGATTGATAATCAATTATACTTTAATGTGTTGCTAAGTGAAACCGCTTTGATAAAAAGCACTTGTGCAAAAGTAAGTCTTAAAACGTTTTTTTGGTAAAATGATCTTAATAAATCATAGATAAACGTTTTATTTCAAATATATTCAAAGTTCAACATAACTTTATATCTATTAGTAGTTTGGTGGTTCAGTTTGAAAAGTGTTAATTACTACTATTGCCATTAAGAAAAACATCAGATTATATTCGAAGCTTATATTTTTTTGTCTAATCATTTTGTCTACTCATTAGCACCTAAGTTCTTAATCACAAGGTTATGGCGACCTGTAAATACGAGCACGATTAAGTTAACTTTTTTAAGAATTTTGAGGGATTTTAGATACTTCAAAGAGATATTCTTTTACACGAATACTCAAAAATCGATTTATAAACGAATAACTGCAATAATTTTGATATCATTTTTCAATTTACCTCACATACAACAGTTGAACTTCGTTGAAATCATGAACCGATCTAAGTTAAACCACCAGTGAAAACTTAGAAGCACTAGATGGCACTTTCATCTTAGTATAGGACTACTTAGCAGTGCGCATCTACGACTGTGAACGCAGGAATCAAACCTAAGACTCATAGTCTTGTCCCAGAATATTTAACCTCTAGAACATTGAGCAGGCGTCCAAAGATGTGGACATCTAACTTCAATCAATCCACGACACTGCGCGATCATTTTCCACTGTTTTCTGTAGGTAAATGCCTTACACTAGACACAGTCACCGCTCCCCACTAGAATTCGAAGGTAGTCTATCTTGAGCACACGGTGCTTTTCGGTATTCAGCAATCTCCATAATTCTATACTGATAACAGCTTCTTCGGAAGTTGTCATCAAAGCAATATCTAAATGTCTTGATCAAGCGTTATAAATTTAATTGCAAGAATTCGAATCCACTGATATTAATATTTTCGAGGTAAGACAAGAGTTCATGAAAAGTGCGTTGGCACAAAGTAAAGCTTTAAGCTGGAGAGAATCAATACGTCTCGTTATAATGGTATAATTTATTCAATGGACTGTTTGGAACAGGCTATGGAAAAGATGGAATATACCTAAAAGCGGAATCCAGAACTCTGGCTCCGACTTACTCGCTATCCATTACTTGAGTGTGCCTGCACCCATGTGTCGATGTTCACAACAGAACGGGAATTTACTACCTATCTTTCTATATTCTGAGCAATAAATCCCAGATATTTGCATTACTGATATTTTCAGAACAGGTTATATCATATATGTAAATAACCATTTACATCAGTGTGATATTCTATTAAGACTTGTGGGAAGATTTTTATAAAGTAAATAACTCAATGTAAATAATGTTTTTCAAAAGTATAAAGTTTTCTCAAAATTATTCTGATCAATATGAGGAACTTCAGATCTCCTACGAAAGTGAGTTCTGTTAAAGTACTGATACAGAACGTGTTTTATGGATCTGAAACATGTAGAACTTCAGCCATAGCATATAATTGTAGGTAATCCTTCTTTTATTGATGTGATAAGAAATAACACATGTTTACATGTAATTCAATATCTGGTTTTTAGTGGGTGGGACTGAAGTATGGATGTCGACTCACTTCATTTGTTTTATGCAGTTATGTAGTTTTACACAATTTAAAAAAGCGTAAATCAAAAGCCGTGAAAATAGCCATCTGTTTGTTACACAGGTCACATTTTCATGCTAACTATTACTAGTATAGACAGTTGTTCGGACACAAAGATGGATGGTGGCTAACAGGGAAATCCAGTACGCAGATTTCATCCTACTTGGGACTTGTTAGCCGGGTGTAACCACATCCCAGAGTTGATGTTCACTTAGAGACTCGAACCCAGTAGCGTTCGCCTCAAACGTCATCTCATTATTCACTTAGCTACTGAATATCTACTTGTGCAATGGAGTTAATCCTTCACAAACCAACACCAATGAAGAGTTCTATATTAAAATGAAATAGCTGTATAATATTTCGTGGTTTTCACTTGGTGTCTATTAATGTCACTCCTTGATACAAGTACAATATAACTATGTTCATTCGAAGTTAAAACATGTTTTGGCAAAGTTATCTAACTTAATATTCTCTGATGTATTTAAACATATAAATCCTGTAGGAAATTGACAGATATTGAGAATAACTTTCATTTTCCAACGAATTTCTCATAATTATTCCCTGCCAACTATTGTCCTATGAACTTTAAATGTTACGCATTGTGTTATTCCATAGCATCCCTTTCGTCTGAAGAAATAAAACATATTTATAATAGATTTTAATTCTCAAATAATTATATACATGCTGATAAACATTCTAACTGGACGCTTGGTTCGGTTTCCCAAGAACTTCTAGTAACTCCAGGCTAAATATACACGGCAATTTAAACACAAGAGAAGAGGAACAAAATATGGGAAGAACGCTTTACTCCTAGGTTCGTTTATGTACAGAAAATTAGGGTAATTATAGCATCTGAGATGAACTTTGGCTTCTGGAAGATTCTGGGTCGCCACTAAACATAGGAACAGAATAAACAATCATCCAATCAGAAATGTGACACATGACCCTTCGCTTTCTAGACGTTTCCGGGAAACTTTTAATTAAAGCTGATTGGATAAAATGATTTCCAGTCTTTTTAGTGCTCCTCCAGACTTTATTCGAGAAATATTCTGGATCTCCCCAATATATACAGAGTATATACTTTAGTGGTAATTAAAGTAGAATAATTTTAAGTTTTTTTTCACGAAGTAACTATGAACTATGGTAACTCACTAAACTACTTACTCTTTAACTATTCCGTGTAGGATTGTCAATTAAATACTATTCACAAAGTTTTTAGGATCTGTTAAATAATCGTACCATTTGCTTATGTGAAATAATGTTTCTTCAAACTTCATCTGATACATTCAAAATCAATTTAAAGTGATCATCTAATATGGACAACCTTCCGATTTCATAAATCCTTTTGTTGATGGGCTTACACAAAACTCAGAAATATAATTGTTTAACATTAACTTCGACGATTTACTGTGATTGACAAAGTGTTATTAAAATTTCGCTTCTTCCTTATGAACTTATCAGGTTTTATTTGCATCTGACAAATAGATTTAGGACAATTTTTGTCATTTTCATCGTCCAAATCTCTTTTACTTGTGAACTAATAGATGATTTTTTCTTCCTGAGTCAATCTATGGTAGACCACCATTGATCTAGGATCATGAATGCTCACTGTTGATGAGTCCCATACTAGGACGTAACAGCCATCCAGTGTTTCTACGTTTTTAATGGTGGTTTAACTTAGACCGACTCATAAAGTCAACTTTGAAAATACTACAATCTCCACAAATCCCGATACTGATAATTTTTTCTTGTCTATAGTACCGTTCTAGTGCTGTCAATAAAAATGGAAATTTTTTTCCCTATCTCAATTAAAATCAACTTTACTATGAATTGATGATATTTAGTTCCAGGTAGTCAATTGGAAACACTGTAAACAGTTTTCGTTTTAGTTCACGTTTATCTGTAAAGTTAATTTGTAACCTTTGGGTAAGTGAGTTTTCCATGACGTTTTGAACTAGTCTCGATTAGTACCACAACTAGAGTCATTATCATTGAGCTATTTGAATTGCTACAAAACATTTGTACAGCAAAAACCAGATAACTGTGTGATAAATTCTAAAATATAACACTAAATGATATAGGTTTCAATCAAATAAGGAACACTAGTTATTCCAAGTTTGATGAAACACCATATTGATGAGTGTTAAGTAGAACGAAAATTAGTATCAGAGTTTCTTGCAGATTACCACTTAATTTAATACAAAGGTGGTATACTTCGTCATTGAGAAATATTTGAATAATACTCAATCGTTCGAATTCGAATCCAACAAATGTTACTCTGCAGTAAAGATGGTCTTTTAAATAAATAAAAGAGTTATTCATAATTGATTTTAGACTTTACTTGTGAACAGAATTAAATTCACTTTTATGAGACAAATAAACCTTAAAATATTTGAAATAAAACTTTTCTACCATTTAAGAAGGTTGATATGTTTTCTTAATGAAACAGGTCAACTAAGAATCGAAGTTAGAAAATAATTCTGTACCCATGGTTTTCCATTCATTTGTGTGATTGGTTAATTTGTCTAAACGAATCAAAAAGTTATTAGGATACAAATAGAGTCAATTGATAATGTCTACCTATTTGTTGTTACTACTGCCTACAAAGATCAGTTTGTAACAGACATATGATAATAAATATTCTCATTATTGATTGTCCATCATATTGTATGTATGTTTGTATGTATATATGTGTGTGTGGTATATGAGTATAATGCAGTTTCAACAGTGTATGTACCCATATGCATGTCCCTAAGATTTCGACGAATGAGGCTGAGTGATAGATTTTTTTAATTTCGATTTATAAAACGTGTGTGTGTGTGTGTTTACAACAAACAAAACATGTCACCGTTTCAACAAAAAAAAAATTAACGGAAAATAATTATGTTCACTTTCCTGGTTCATTACTACTATGGCATATTTTTTTACTTAAAGAAACTAACAGTACTTTTTTTTTTTGAAAGACTGTCTTTTTATGATCCATGTGATTAAGAAATTTACAAATGACTACTTGTTCACCGGACCAACTTAACAATCTACCATAATATAAATCCTTACAAAATTAATAATAATAATAACCCCTATTCCCAACTGAAAGATAACTGTATAATACATGTGAATCGATCATAAATTGTCTTATCTCCAGTCCTTTACCAAACATTTACATACCGTTCTCTTTTCTTTTTTTTAAATAAATAAATAACCAACTGTGTTAAATGATGACACAGGATAGTGATAAGCAAAGTATGCATTTTTAAATCATATATATAAATACAAAATAAACAGTATGTTAATTGGTGTATATATTTTAATATTAAATTATAACTGTTTTACAATAAGCTATGCACAGTTTGCATTAGCTAATACTTTATCGATAAATAATGATTATCAAAATAAGTGGAGTTATCATCAAGCAGATCGATCAGCTGAACAATGGGAAGATTATTGGCAAACAATTTCACCGTCAAAAGGTAGGCAAAGTTTTCAAATGTAGACCATTGTTAATGTACTCTGTTTATTTATCTGTAATCAATAAAAAGAAAATTTATTATTAGTAAGTTTGTTGTTGTGTAATATTACATAATGATGTCATGTTGTTTAAGTTATATAGTTTGAATGAAACAAATTATGTTGACCTTCTGAACAATGTTGTGTTTTGTTAAGATTAAACACTGATGAAGATATAGATTTAAAAAATAACATTTTGCGGTATTTTATCCCTTTTTAATAGTCCTTTAGTTGATAGGAGTTCATGTAAACAAACAAAACATAACGTGACCAACATACTGTTAACCATAGTGAAAAGGATAGTTCCACAATAGACCATTCACCTCAGAAAATGAAATGCTTAGAAATAAGCCATAAGTTCTATCGACTCTATCTATCCGTCTATTGTAGTGAATTTAAAGTCGGGTGGGGAGGGGACCAATTTATTGTTTTACATATAAACAAACAGATTTGTAAAATATGAAATTCACACACTAAATACATTATTTGCATATATTCATTCAGTTGTTCTTTATATACTTCATCATTCTTCGGATCCTGTTGTTATTTCGATTGCTATTCGTTTTCCTTCATCTTCTGTTTATTTTACTGTTCCGCTGGTAAGCATTCGTATTCCAACTCCTTCTACATACTACTTATATCTGTCCGTATAAGTAGTGCACACTACACCATGAGTAAGCGCAAAGTTCATTGTAACACACCACAATATGCAATTTTAGTCGGTTTGTACTGAAGTATTCATGCTAATTTTATATGATGGAGTACGTACTGGTGTGCTGATGTGTAGAAGCAGTGTTAGTATTAGTGGTAGTTGTATTTTTTTCATATCAGCTAACTTAATCAGGAACAACGGTGAGCGAAAATAGTTTACACTATACAATAAAGTTGTAAGATTTGATGATTCGGTAGTAAAATAGTTTCTCTAAAACAGCTGAAGATCATGAACGCAAATAATTTAGTTATATCACATTATTTTTTTATTTAATTTAACTAGTCTTCCCATGGGTTTCCTTCAACAAAGATATTGTATAATATTGAGTTTATGGATGAAGTATTAGACAAAGATAACAAACCAATGATTGATGCTATTAATAGTCCACGATCGTGATGTTTGAGATATTTGTTACATGTGCTTAACCACCTACTACTTGAATGAATAATGTTAGTTGATTTAGGAGTAAGTTGGAAGACAATTAGGTGCTCGTAAAACAAAATATGACATCTATTCATAAAGTCATTGACTGTTGATCTTTAATATTTTGTTAGTACAAACGACCACGTGATAAGAGCAATCAGTGGTTGGAAACTTCCCATAAAATGGCTCAAAATCGATAACAATGGAACAGATAGATTCCCCCATTCCTTAGCTCTAGATCTTGAATTCCTGTAATTTCTTTTTGTATAACTTCTCTTTTCTTTTTATTGAAATATAATCTTCATATACAATTATTCGTGGTATTACTGCAACTATGTTATTTTAATTGCTTATTCAGTTCTTAAAATCTACCTCATTATGTTAATGAGGTGTGGTAACTTGGGCTAACTCACATTTGTGCCAACTAATACTATTCCTTAAACGTTATTCGATAATTGTCTACTTAAATTCTCATTGTTTATATTTTTTTTACAATATTATTTCGTACCGAATTCAATTCTTTCATTTTGGAATTAACATGACATTTCAATAGAACTTTCCAATATTCACAATGAACAACTTTATACTACTTAAATACGCTTAATTTAAAACTAAAAAGATTTTCATATTTTTTTAAGAAGAAAGAAACTAAAACACCTAGTTACTACTTTTTTCGATTTTTTTTCAAATAGTATTAAATCTTATAACATTTATGTTCACATACTGATCCACAATGTGTATGTATGTATGTATGTATGTATGTATGTGTCTTTTTCTAGGTGTATCTTTAGTTGAATCTAAGTGTGTGAAATTAGTTTGTTCATTGACTTTATAAAAAATTTTCTATTCACAACAGAAGTCATTAAATTAAGATGAAGTTTATTTGTTTCAATATATTTTCGGGTTGTTTTAGGAGTGAAGAACCAGTTGGTTTTGACTACATTATACATTGATTATCTTAAATTGTATGAAGACATTGTGAATTTTCATAGGCTCACATCTATAAACACAAGATGATAATTTAATGAATTAGATATGCATCAATTCATTCCATTTTCTATAAATCACTTATCTCTGAGCATTGAAGAATTTTCATGATTTAGTCCTCAGTAATGACTGAAATTGATATATTGAATATGACTAGTTCTACAGTCCATCGAAAAATACAAGATAGTTCCTGTATTCTCCTAGCATTATTCATTCGTAGAAGAGTTGACAGAGTTTTAAACAATCGCTATTTGAACTTTATAATTTACTAGTGCCATAAATTATGTGATTTAATTCTAGGAATATTTTTCATAAAAATCATATATATGAATAAGTAGTTATCGTTTAAACAAATAAATTGAGAACAAAACAGTAATGTAACTTGGGTACTTATAGTCAGGGTAACAATGACAAATTTCCCAAATCAGTCACTGGGAAGCCAATACGGCCATTTTCCACAGTTTGATACTGATAGATTTCTACTAAACAATTTTTTTAACGATGTGATTAATAATATCAATTATTAAACATCATTGAGCATTATAACGGACGGTTGGATACAATCGGTAGGAAACCATATTGTGATGCATCCGCCTGCAACAACTTGAAATATATATATATATATATATATATATATATATATATATATATATATATATATAAACTTCTTGGATGACAAATCCATTGAAAACACTTTATCATGAGATTACCAATCGGTGTGACAATCAATAAGTTATGTTTTGCTTATACAATTTTAAACGTGTTCACTTTCAAAAATATCATACTTGGTATCGATTAATGTCTAAATTAAATGTTAAGTAAGCGTCGTGTAGACACAATGTCAAACATATTAGTACACTAAAGTATTCATATATACATATATGTACATGAAACAATAACTTAATTACCAAATGCAGTATACATCACCCAACATTTAGCATAGTTTCCCATATTGATTATAGCAACCATACAAAATAGTCAGTTGACAATAAAAAGAATTTACATAAAGTAGATTTCAATATTTCTGTTTTTGCAAGAGAAAAAAGGAATAATCTATAAAACTGTTTTTTTTCCCATTTGTGAATATTTTTCTCCTCATAAGAGAAAGCTAACTAACTTGTAAATATAAGGAGAGATGGATGGTGGTTAGTAGTGAAATCCAAGACACGCGTTCTTTCAAATTTGGGACTCATCAGCTGGATGTACCTGAATCCCATGGTTGATGTTCATTTCGGGACTCGAACCTAGCACCGCTCGCCCCAAACACTCACGTTATCTAGTTAGCTACTGAATCCTGATAGACATCAGTTTGTGCAATAGGGTGACGTTTTAATTCATTTTTGTATTGGTTGTTTGAATCTTCTACTTATAATGATTTTGACCTGAGGTAATATTGAACCGATCTGAACAGGACGCACATATGCCAATGAAAGACTGATCAATCGCAGTTTTAAATATCAATGGGAAGATTCAAACAACCAATACAAAAATGGATAAAACTTTACTCTATTGCACGAACTACTGGTTATCTGGGCTCAGTAGATTAGTATATATATATATATATATATATATATATATATATATATATATATATATACCAAGAGCCGTTTATGAAAGGTTTTTCTTTACACCATTAACTGTAAGATAATTGCTCCTGGAAGGTCTCATAGGGATTACGCCAGAGAAATCTATTTATAGTTCTTTTGTATAGAAACTTTAATTTACAGAATTCAATCACTTCTAGATTGAGACAGTTATCAGTCAACACGAATAGTATGATTCATTAGATTTAGATTAAGCAATTTTAGGTTATCTATTTTTAATCACGGTTAAAAAAATATCACGAATTGTGTCCATTACTTTGATGAGAAGTTCTGAACCAAGGCAAGCTAATCGTTCAATGTATTTCCCTTGATTTTGGCTCTTATTATAAACGTGTCAATACATTTTAGTGAGGAATCTACAGTATTTAAATATAACATTCGTCGCAATTTCGTTCCAGATGCAGAAGCATTAAAAAATTATCTTCATCTGGTTTGTGACTTCTTTCCAGTGTGCAATCATAATCCTATACAAAGTTGAACTCAGCATGTATCAAACATTATTTAGCTGGACAAAGTATGTCTTAATCATTTCTTTGTATTTAGTCATTTGAACATTGATGTCTGTTCGTCATAAAAGCACCATTTTATCACATATATGTTCTTTATTAGAAAGATAATATGTACACATTTCTAATTATATAAAACAAAACTAAGCACCCCCGATGAATAATAATGAAAATAGTGTGTAGCATCCACTGAGTAATGCAGAAAATAAGCAGACAAGTAAAAAAAATGAATAGTGATGACAGTTAAAGGGTTATCTACGGTTTTTAATTGACTGGTCGTCGAGTAGTAACCAATATCATGTATGTCGAGTCCTTCCTAATGCTGAACGAACTCTATCGATAAGATTGAAATATGGACACTAGTCTGGTGGTTTGACACCGCCTGTACTATTATGAGCTCAAATATTCCTTTAAGATTAGATATGCACCTCATTGACAAGTGGCACAAGTGATAAAATACCTCAGTCTAGGTTTTCCGCTCAACTACCTCCCATCTTGAATATCTTGTAATGTCAATAGTTGAAATCATGAGTCAACTGGAGCTAAACCATCGTAGGAAACCTGGAAGCGCTGGATAGCCGTTTCGTCCTAGTATGGGACTCCTCAGCAGTGCTCGTTCACGATCCCCCCGCGAGATTTGAACCCAGAACCTATCAGTCTCTCACGCGAGCGCTTAAGCATTAAGTCACTGAGTCGGCATCCAATGTCTAACTTCAATCTAATCTTGTAAT